CCTACGGATGTCTCGGTCCTCAAACACTCTCTGCTTCATTCGGAAATATGCTGCACTTGCAGAGCTCAGGCGGTGTTGTATTTCAGTCTCAATGTTGACTTTGGTGGAGAGGGGGCTGCCAAGGGAGCGGAAATGGTCAACATTTTCTAGTGTTACACTATTAAGCTGTATTTCTGGCATTGGAGAGGGACTGGCTGGTGACTGCTGGAACAGCACTTTGGTTTTCTCGATATTCAATGACAGGCCGAGGGACATAGGATGCCTGCCTGAAAACACTGGTGTTGTTAGGACTCTGCGAGCAAGATATCAAATAGCACATGTGCATTGGCTCACCCAAGTAAGAAGGAAATATTAATGCTTCTATTTGGTTCCCTAAATCCCTGTTGTGATTTTCCTGTCTGTCAAAAGGGGATCAGACTGGAGGACTTTTGGGGTCCCTTCCAATTCTGGGATTCTATATCCATACTTGGCATACATTAACAATCACATAAGATGTCTACCCAAAGAGCATTGGTGTTGTTAGGATGTCAAATAGCACATGTTCATTGGCTCACCCAAGTATGAGTGAAACATTAATGGTTCCGGCCCAGCTTATCTATCCAAACGTATCTCCTCCTATGAACCTTCTAGACATTTAAGATCATCTGGGGAGGCCCTGCTTTCCATCCCGCCTGCCTCACAGGTGCGTCTAGCGGGGACGAAAGACAGGGCCTTCTCAGTGGTGGCCCCTTGGCTGTGGAACTCCCTGCCCAGGGATATTAGACCAACTCCTTCTCCCTTTTACTTTTTGAAAGAGTGAAAACATTTACTCTTTGAGCAGGCGTTTGAAACTTCAGCGTGATCAAATAAATACAACTGGAAAGAATATGTAACGGCTAAAGAGGATATAAACAGATGAGGAATTGGATTGGAAAACACTATTTTATAGACTTTTATAGTTTTTATATGTATTAGGATGTGATTTAATTGTTTTAACCGACATGTGTATGTCTGACTTGGCCACAGTAGTCCACGCACTGGTTACATCCTGTATAGACTACTGCAACGCACTCTACGTGGGGCTGCCTCTGAAGACTGTCCAGAAGCTTCACATGGTCCAATGGGCGGCAGACAGATTGCTAACAGGAGAGACACTTAGAGAGCATACAACTCCTCTGTTGCGTCAGCTCCACTGTCTGCCAGTTTGCTACCGGGCACAATTCAAAGTGCTGGCTTTAGCCTATAAAGCCCTACATGGTTCTGGCCCAACTTACCTGTCCGAACGCATCTTCCCTTATGAACCATTTAGGACTTTAAGATCGTCCGGGAAGGCCCTGCTCTCGATCCTGCCTTCATCACAAGTACGTCTGGCAGGGACAAGAGACAGGGCCTTCTCCGTGGTAGCCCCTTGGCTATGGAACGCCCTCCCTAAGGAGATTAGATCGGCTCCCTCACTCTCAACGTTTCAGAGACAAATTGACATGGTTATATGAGCAAGTGTTTACAAATGCAGAGTAACTGACATAGGAAATGGAATCACTTGACAATGG